GGGCCCCCTCATGGCCCTATTTTAAATTACCCCCCCACCTCCAGGACTCCCCATGTGCCTCCAGGCTCTGTCTTCCCCATTTCCAAACCACCTCCTACCCTGCTATGTACTTCACTTTTTTATCATGTTTATTGTCTTTCTCCCCCACCCAAGCGTAAGCAGGGCTTTCTTTGTTTTGTTCACTGATGTCTCCCCAGCATCTAAAACAGGGCCTGGCACGCAACAGGCACTTAATAAATGTTTACTGAAGGGAGGGAGCGAGAGAGGGAGGGAATGGAACACGCAGTTCTTACCCACATTGCCTTTTTGTCCCTTTGGTCCTTCTGGACCTGGTTTGCCCAAGATCCCAGGAGTACCTGTGGATACACAAGAATACCTCAGCCCTATTTTCCTCCTGGAACCTGGGAGGCAGGACCAGGGAGCCCTCAATAGCAGCCCCGCCATCAGAGGTTACGCACCTGGCATCCCAGGGAGCCCTCGATCTCCTGTGGGAGCAGAGATGAGACAGAGAAGTCAGCCAGAGGACTTGGGCAATTACCTAAAGGAGCCACTGGTGGGGTTCAAGTAGGATTGCCAAATGTAGCAAATGAAAACACAGGATGCGCAGTTAAGTGTGAATTGCAGATAAACACTAATACATTTTTAGTATAAGTATGTTCCATATAATGTTTGGGACATACTTATAAGGAAAAATTATTTGTTGTTTGTAATTCAAATTTAACTGCGTGTCCTGTATTTTATGGCAACTGCAGGCTCAGTGGCTCCGGACCATCAGCCCCCATCCCCAGCAAGGTGGGTCAGAAGAGGTGTGGCCTGTACACTGGAGACCTGGGGTAGCGGGGCCAGGCGTGACACAGAGTGTGTGCGTGGGGGCAGGAAATCCTGAAGAGAAGCAAAGGGTCACCAAGTGGAGGAACCCCAATTTCTACACTGAGATCTCTTGGGAAAGGAGGTGGAGCTGGGGAGAGAAGGGCGGCCCTGTCATCTTAAACAGTGATTCTTGGAATAAACTGCACCTCTGGCCTCAGAACCACCTGGGGTGATCAGGACTGCAGACTCCTGGCCCTCCTCCCCGCCCCCCCCCCACCCNCCCCGCCCCCACCTGCTGAATCAGAGGCTCTGGGAGTGGGGCTCAGAATCTTCTGGCAATTCTCCTACACACTGAAGTTTGTGAACCCCACTCAGCTAGATCCAGAAGTGCTGCTGTGGTCACTGGGATCGGAAACCTCTTCCTCCCACCTATGGGCTTGTCCCATTGATTGTCAAACCACTTTTCTGAGGAAATATATCAATTTCCTATGCACATAAGCGTGTTCCACAAGGCTGTCCCCCAACTAACACTGTGGGGCACTTTTCCTGTGACTGTCCACCTGCCTGCCTGCCCCCTGAAGGCAGGTGGCTTTGCTCCTACTGGATTTCCTGCACAAGAGCTCAGTTCCTGACTGCTGGGTGTTATCTACCCCAGCCTGCCTCAGCTAAGACTGCTGAAGCTCACCTGGAATGGTGGTTCCTGATCTGACTCATCAGATAAAAACCTGGGGGGAGGGGAGCTCAGCCCCAGAGAGTGTGATTCAGGGGTATCTGATTCCTGCCAGGGCCCAGGAATCTGTATTTCTAGAACTCTCTGGGGGGCGGGGGCGGGGCATTGTATAGCAGGCTGCCCCTTGGAGCTGGGGAGATACAGGCCCTTGATGCCGGCTACCTCAGGGTCCTTGTTCTGGGGGTTCCTGGAGCCCTGAGAAGGGGAGAAAGACAGGTCTCTCCCAGAGAGGTAGAGCCCTGCCCTGTCATGCTCCCCAAAAAGCCCAAGTGTCTGCAGGCAGCTCTGCGATTCACAGGTCCCACCACAAAGGGGAGATGGCCAGGGAACGTGTCAGATGGGTCCTCTGACACTTGCTGATAGCTTTAAACTGTCAACCCTTACTAATATTTAAGGTAAAAATTTCCATGTTGTATTACCTTTAGGGCCTTGACTTCCCATGTCACCTAAAATCAGAAAGATAAGAAAATTGTGAATGGGGTGAGAATCCAAAGGCCCTTCTCTCCTAGTATTTTAAGACCAGCTAACAGTAGGTGAACTGCGTTTCAAGGTGAGCTGAGTGTGGCGTCTGTGTCACTTCGCCATGTTGCTGGGCCTCTCTTAGAGGATGCCTTAGGTCCCTTCCTGTTCTCAGATAGTCTGACTGTAAAGGCAATTGTTAACCCTCCCCAACAGGCACCGTAAGATCTTCGATTTGGAAAAACGAGTTTTCCAATCCACCCAGAAAACCTGCTCCGAGCGCAGGAAACGAGAACAGGGAAAGGGCTCCGTCCACCGCAGTACCTTTGGGGCCGGGGCTTCCTCGCAGATTGCCTGCAAGAGAAAGGAAACCCCGAGTTAGTCGCATTTCTTCTGCATGACACACACGCGGAGGGGATCTCTGTGATACAGTGGGAGGAAACCTAGGCTAGGACTACCAATCAGATTAGAAAATGGGCAATTCTCTCTAGGTCTCAGTTTTCCCAGCAGTCAAATGGGCTCACAATACTGGTCCTTCCTCCCACCCGGAATTATCAAGAGGGTGACAGAGTGTGGAGGGAGCATGCGAGTCCCTTGAGCAGGCACCACTGCACACAGAGGCAAAGGGCAGGCAGTGGAAGGAGGCCCCTTGCCCTGTGAGGCACTCGCTCACCGTTTTCTTGCTCTGTCATCAGCTTGTTCCTCACGAACAGCCAGAGCGCCTCCTGACTGTGGCCGCCTAGCCCTGGCTTGTCCAGGCCTCCGCCCACCCCGGGCGCCTCCCCGTGCAGCCACTCCTTGTTGTTCCTCCTCGTCTCCTCGTCGTGCAGCACCCCACCGCTGACTCGCTCCAGCTTGTCCACGCGCGCTTTCAGCTTCCGCACCTCCTCCGCTGAAACGGCAGACAGGCAGTCAGCCGAGGGACAGAGCCAGGGCCTCCCCAGCACACACTCACTCCCCCGGGGGAGCCTGCAATGGAGGCTCTGGGGTCTGTGGCGGCTTCTCCATGCCACTGGGGGCATTTTGCTGGGATACTAATGCGGAGACAATCTGTTGTGGCTACCAGCGGGATTATAACTGCTACTGAAAATTGTCACCGAGGCTTAAAGAAACCAGGCCTGGGGGTCAGTCTTCTGACATGGTGACAGTGCTGGCCCTCACTCTCCCTGGGAGCTGGTGTGAGCCAGCAAAAGGCTATGAGAAGGGATGGCCTGACTACTAAGGGCAGCCAGGAGCTCAGCGCAGCTGCTGCGGGCAGAGGGCTCTGGGCCCTGGGCCCTGGACCGGTAGCGGCATTAGAATCCCAGCTCTGCCAACTCGGTGGCCGTGGGACCTTGGCCAGGTGCCTTCTGGAGCCTGTTTCCTCATCTGCAGTAACAAGGGGTCTGTACCCATGATGTCCCGCCCCTGACCCCCAACACTCTGGGCTACCCCTGCCTTTGGAATGGGCCGTGGGGCCTGCTTCCCTGCCGCCGTCGCCACGTACCCAGAGCAATGAGGCCAAAGAGCAGCCCCAGGAGCAGCAGCCAGGTGAGCAGCAGGCCCAGCAGCCATTTCCACCAGCTGCAGCAGGAGCCGCAGGGGCACCAGGCTGGTGCTGCCCCCCACGAGCCCCCGCCAACGCCGCCGCCGCCGCCACCGCCTCCCCCTTTCACGCCACTGCCGCCGTTATATTGGTTGTAGCCGTGGATTTCTGTGGAAGAGAGGGTAAGGGTAAGGTGAAGACCGATGGCTCTTACTCTCTTCCCTCCACATTTTCTGGCCGTTGGTGACTTCCTGTGGGCCTGAGTGAGCGTGAGTGGGGCTTTCAGGCCCCTGTGCAGCTCTGTGAGGGGTGAGGCTGGCTCCTGGAACCAGCACAGGGCTGTGGCTGCTGAAGAGCAGAAGTGTGACAATCCTGGGCTTGAGCTGTGGGACCCGAGAGGTCCCTTAACCTCTTTCTTTTTTTTATATATAAAATGAGATTAAAAGATTACCTACTGCATAGGACAGTTGTTAAATGACATGAGATAAGTTAAATGACATGAGATAAGTAAGGCATGCAAAGTGATTAGCAGAGGATGTAGCACATATCTCTAGGTTTGAAAATCTTGATTATGAGCTTTGATCTGCCACAACCTCCTGTATTTGATTAGGCCCAAACCTAAGGCGTTGTTCCCATCTGCACAGCTCAGTATTCACAGTTCTTTCTTTGTAATCTCCAAGTGCCTAGAATTACACTCAGCATTTAAGAGATGCCCAGTAAACCTTTTGTTGTTGTTGTCAAAGGGTTTTTAGTATCTAAAATGGGGTGATAACCCTGGATCTGTCTCTCTCACAAGGCTACAGGAGGAAGTGAGGAAAGTGTAAAAGGCTGGAGATAGATGTGCGTGGTCTGTGTCAGCCTGAAGCCTGTGTGTCGCGGGGTGGTAAGACAACAGGAGCCCTGTTGTGTTGCTCCTGCTGTGTTGGGAGACCCTAGACCTGAGGGCAGATAAAGGGTGCCTAGCAGTGGGAGGAAGGGTGGGGTCTGTGAGCAACAGCCCCTGAACTAAAGCTTCTGCAGCCCACACTATCGCCCAGCCTGCCCCCTTCACTGCCCTCCACCCTGCTCCCTTCAAGCCTTCAGGGGCACTCATTAGAGTTGGGTAGCTCAGGCATGCACTGGCTCCAGGCTGGGGGCGTTATCTGTACCGTTCACCATAACCAGCCCGTGGGCTCCTGTTGCTACCAGAACGCCATTCTCACCTACCTGCTGAGGCGGCCTTGCCCTTTGTGGACACAGTCTTCACCTCTCCTGAAAGATAAACACCGAAAACACAGGTTTGACTTGAGCTTTTAAATGCACAGGAGCTGATGAGACAGCCTGTGGGTAGATTCTGGGCTGGGCTTTAGGTAGATACACGCAACGCCACCCTCCCCCACCTCCCCTGGCATCTAGCAGAACAGCCAAGTACAGGAGCATCCACTCAAATCTCACTGATCTGATATTTGCAATAATTACATCGATGCAGATACGGCTTAGCAAATAATTACTGGTGGGAAAAAGCAGCATCCTAACCCTCTTGTGCCTGAAAACTTCAAAGCCCAAGACATTTTCAGAAGACCACGTAAGGGGTGACCTTTGCTTTCAAACAATAAATATGCTTGTAAGAAATGACTCTCCGAGTTCTTGGTTGAGGGACTTTGAACGCAGGAGGTTCCTAACCTGGGGTGGAGGGAGCCAGAGGGCAAGGGTGGGCTTGGAGCAGGGCAGTTCAGGGGTCCCTGATGCTATCTGACCACTGAGTGTTTGTGGGCATGCGTGGAATTTTCTGGGGAAATTGTTTACAGCTTTCATCAGATTCTGAAAGGGTCTTTTGGCTCCACATCTCCACTCCACCCCTAAAATGTAAGGAACCACTAACTGAGAAGACTTAAGGCCAGGCCTTGTCAGGATTGTAACTGATTTCATTTGCATTTATCTAAAAATGTTCTGTGAAGCAACTTTTCCCTTTCTCTACTGATCTCCCTAAAATCAGTGATTTGGAGAAATTGTACAGAACCCAGAGCAGTGAAGAAATGTGCTTATCCAGGAAAAAAATTCAGATATTTAAGAAGAAAAAAAAATAAAGCTAGCAAGTGCTTTGCAAACCATTTTTCTGTTAGTTCTGAAAATTAAGGGAAGATGAGAAAAAATGCCTGTGGACCTTAGACATGTCATGGTGTAAGGCTTTTGCTGCAATAATGTGGACGCATAAATCAACTGGGGAACTTGTTAAAATGCAGCCTCTGGCTCAGCAGTCTGGCCGAGGGCCTGGGAGTCTGCGTTTCTGACATGTTCCCAGGTGTTGCCACTGCTGTTGGTTCAGGGACCACACTTTGAGTAGTGAGGTCTCAGAAGACAAATAAATAAATGAGACGTGGATTGGCTGAAGGCAAGGTGGACAGTAATCAGATTGGGTCTTACCATTAGCCTCTGATACTAGGCAGGTGTCAGCAGTGTAGGCAGCTTGCTTTTCCTTTTTTAGGGTATCCTCTGAAAAAGAGGCTGTGCACACAATCCATGATAATCTGGGATAGTCTATGCTTACTTCCACCCCCTCCCCCCAACATCCACTTCATCTTGGGGAGGTAGAGGTCAGCCCGATAGGAAGAGGATCCAGATTTCCTGGCGTTAATCCCCCAATCGATGCTTGTGGTTGGAGTCTTGATGTTGTTGCCCAAAGAACCCTCTGGGAGCTCTTTCCCAGAATTTTCCTGGCTTGTCTGCATTCAAGGCAGACCCTGGGACACCCGATTCAGGCAGGCATTTTTTTCATTTGAATGGGATGACTATGTTTTCATCATTAAAACATCTCATAAACCACCTTGCTGGGACATTTGGTCGCCTACACTGTCTGCCTTTCTCCTGAACCCGGAGTCATGCGGGCTTGTGCGTACTTGCAGTGATGCTGGCAGGGGAGGCAGAAAAGACCTTCCCGCTGTCCTTGGTCATGATCAGCAGCTCCATCTCCTTCTTGGCAGGCGCACTGTCTTTCTCCAAGATCAGGAACTTACAGTCCTTGTGCAAGAGGTCATCATTCTGGACACTGGTGGTGCAGGCTGGAGAGGAAAGAAGTGGGTGGGGAGGAAGGAAAAGGTGCCAAGAGAAGGAAGAGGGGAGAAATGACCAGAAGAGGAAGGAGAAGGAAAAGCAGGGAGGAGAAGAGAGGTTAGTGGGTGCGTCCAAGGGTCTCCTGCTCTCGCCCACAGTGGCTCCTAAGAAGCAGCTTGGGAGCGACAGACAGCCTCCCCTGCTGGCTGGGCCTGGTGATGAGCAGGTTGGGTTGATGTTCAGAAGCACTGGGCAGTGGGCCTATGGGGCTGCCTCTCACCTGGATGTTACAGGATCTTTAGTGAACAGCCCCTTGTCAGGCAGGCCCTGCTTTAATTAACTGGGCAGGTTCATTTCTATCCTTCAGGTCTCAAGTGTTAGCGTCCTGGGGTTTTTTTCCTGAACACCCCGTCTAACATACACACAGTCCCTTCTCTCCCACCTCACCTATTTCTCTCCTTCAAATTACCTCGTGTACTTTGTCTACTTGTTAATCTGCCTCCTCCACTGCAATTATCAGCCTGGGGAGGGCAGGAATGTAGCCTGCCTTGTTCATGTGTGTGCTCCAGACACGTAGAACAGTGTCTGTCTCACACAAAGCAGGTGCTCAGTGAGTGGTTTTTGAATGAATGAATTGTTGAATGGAAGGAAATACACCAGGATCAGAGCAATGAAAGAAGCAGCTGTGAGCCAATTCGATAAACATTCTACAGAAAATAGGGAGGGTGCGGCAGCTTTGAGGGGCTCCCTGGCTCTTGCCATGGATGACGTGTAACAGGAGCCTGCCAGAGGCTTCCAGACAAGGGTAGTGGCTGGGGTGTGTCTGACCCTGGGCAGGTATGGAGGGTGGAGCTTCCTGCCCCTCTAGGATAAGGAGGTCAAGGTAAGGCCAGGGGGATGCTCATCCCTACTTACTCCTGGAAATAACTGAGAGGCCCTTGGGGTGAGTCCCATCTGCAGACCGTAGACCACCAATGGGCTATATTCCCTCCTCCCATATGCCATGTATCACCGTGTGCTGTGGTGTGCCCCTGGCAGCTGGGGACAGTACTCACCGGCAGAGGTGGACATGCCAGTGCTCACAACGGCAGGGCCCTGGGGCATGTTTTTCTTCAAACCGTATGCTGCAAGAGAGGAACCACTGAGTAAATGAGACCAGTGAGGGAGAGTGGCTCCACGCAACTGAGAAGCAGCCTGACCAACCCTGGCAGCCTCCCCAGGTGAGCAGAAGACAATAATAATGAATAATAATGAATGAATAATGAAGAATAATACATAATGAAATCAACTCTCTCCAGCCATGGGAGCAGCAATGAAAGTTTAGATGGAACTTTCTTTGGTATAAGTATCCTTCTAGGACAGCTCCAAAGGCCACCTCCTCCATGAAGTCCTCCTAGACCTTCCCACATCACCTTCCCTTCTGAACTCTTACAGCCCTAACACCTGCTCTGCACAGCTTGACTCATGTCGTCTTACAGGAGTCCCCAATTGTTCCATGTGTATTAGACTTTCTACCCCAACCCAATAGGAAGCAAGTTGAGGGCCAGGGCTGAGGCTCACGCCTCTTGTCTCCCTTCCCCCAGGTTTATACAGGGGGTGCACCATAAAAGCAGCCAGATGATTGATTTGCAGTGACAGTGGGCTGTCAGGGACAGCAGTGAGACAGGAGGATATACAGGTGACAGTCCACAGCAATGCCCCCCTGTGGTTTTATTCATGCCTGAGCCAGTATATGATTATGGTTGGAACCTCCAGGTTGGGGGCTAGGGGCTGTTTTTTCGGTGGGAAAGGACGATTGATTTTTAGGGATGTTTTGTTTCCTGATTCAGTTGTTGGAAACGGATATGGTAAGTTATAGCTGAAAAGAGGCATTAGTTCCCAGCCCCTAAGCTCCAAATCTCAGCTACTGACCTGTGGAGGTGGTGGCTGCACCGTGCGACAGGGTGGATGAGCTGGGGGCCAGGTTGTTCTGCACACCAAACACTGTGAGGGGCATGGAGGACAGGTGAGTGCAGGTGCATAGAGGAGGGCCCTCCGCTATAGGCATCCCCCTGGGAGTCCCCAAACTACTTTCGTGATAAATGCCTCTGCATATGACAGAGGTTCCTAAACTTTCTCTGTTCTCACATTCTAAGACAGTACTTTTTTTTAATGCCCCACCCTCTTCACACCAGGCCCAAAGTTACTGTTTCATTTACTGAGTAGTTAGGTCCACACAACTTCATAGTGGTAGTTCACACAGGGTCTGACAGACATCGCTGTATCCCTCAAAATTTAAAACGATTGCAGTGTTCCCTGTGGCACCCTGGTGTGTCTGGGTGCAGTGTGGGAACTGTGACCATAGGCTTTGGACACAAGGGAGCCGGGGGCGCTGACTTTGCAGAGCCCTCGTTTCCCCCTGAGCCCTTCTCCTGACTCAAACGCATAAAGCTCCCCTCACCCCCATTATGATGTCGGAGGCTGGTTGTTTTAAACAATGTGCCGAAACTTATTCCTCCCCAGTAACAGCTTCTCTTATTCCATCCTATCTAGTGTATAGGGTACAAGATCGCAGATCCAATATCCTCAGTCAGGACTTTGCAGAGCAGAATGACAAAGGCAGAAGAGGTGCAGCGTGAGCCAGGGGTCCCCTGGGTTTGGTGGGATGCTAGTCCCTCGGAGGTGCTGAAAGTCAGAACCCTGCATTTGCACTTGCAGGCACGCCAGCCAAGGAGATAAGGAAGGCCCGCATCGTTATGTGTGTTAGTCATGACATGGCAGGGAGATGGCAGATTCCTTTAAAAAACGATGTGGCTGGTAACTTTCTCACATATAGGCTATTGTAACATATACAGAAATAGAGTGAATAAATTTGAGCCCCCAATGAACTACTGTATTTAGAAAAAGATCTGAAGAAGAGCCTTCTAACTTAATGCTTTTCACCTGAAATGACCTAGGCTATGCCTAACTTAGCTTCTTCACTTCCATGTCTCCACCTCTCAGAGAAAAGAGACTAGCGCAGAATTCTCTCCCTTGGGGACGGAGCTGTCTCAGATGGAGGGCAGGCTCTGTGCCTTCTCAGGCAGCCCCTTGGCTGCTGCCTCTGCGTTGGTGTGCGTGCAGGAGTGCCCTCATACTCCTGGGCAGAAAGGACATCTTCTCTAGAAATCATTCTATTTTCCTTACCAGGAGACAGCCTCCTCCCAGACCACCCCCCTTTTTTTTTTGTTTTAAAGAAAACCACCTGGAAAAGGTGAGTGAAGCTGGAGAACACTGACCTGAGGAGCAGGTGCTGATTCCGGGGTGCAGAGTGGGTGAGCAGGATGCCATGTTGTTTGGAACTCCAAAGACTGCGGGGGAGGAGGAAAGCTGGTGAGAGGGACCCAGCCCACAACAGGGGATACCACAGAAGCTCCGGAAGAAACGCCAGGGCTGCATTTTGATATTTTGTTAAATTTCTGTTTTTAAGAAAAATCTTAGGCTCTAGCCTTGCAGTAGAGAACCATACATTAGTCTCCCGTGTGCCTTAGATCATAGCCAAGGAGTGGTCGTGGGTTGGTCAAGCCTCGAGTGGGCATTGGCTCTGGTCAAAGCCCCCTCGTTAGTGACCACTTTACAGAAAAGGCACTTGAAGCCCAGCAAAGTTAAACGATTTGCTCAAGGTCACACAGTTAACCCACATGGAGTGAAACTAGGTTCCTTGCATACGTTTTCACATTCTTTCCCATTACATTTTTTTCTGATATATTGTGTAATCTATGTAATCTGTGTAATCTATGGTGGACCCACCAAAAGAAACACCTTAGAGATTGAACTGAAGTTCCAGTGGTAAAACCTTGGGGTGTCTGGCCAGAGAAAGCCCCTCTAGGAAGCCTCGGGGATGGCAAACACCAGCGAGGTCATTCAGCTCCAGGTAAGGTGTGGAGGGCTCAAGGGTAGGAGGGCATGTGCACTACGCTTCACGTACCTGATCCTGCAGAGTAGGCATTGGCATTGAAGAGGGACGAACTCTGGGCTGTCACGTTGTTGTGATAGGCTCCCATGGAGGACCCCGCCGGCAAGGTGGAGGACCACAGGTGGGAGGGAAGGTTGGCATCCAGGGTAGTTGTGTCATAGGTGCTGGACACTGGAAACAGACACACACACCAGTAAAAGACAAATCAGCACTCTATGCTGGGGTGACCCAGTTGGCTCGGCTTGCTGGGACTTTCCTGGTTTAATCCTGAAGGTCCCCTGCCCAGAAACTCCCTCAGTCTGGAACAAACCAGAGTCGCTGGTCATCCCACTTCTGTCTGAAACCTTGGAGCTGGTGCAAACTTGATCTCTTGGATTAGATATCCTTCCTGGCGCTTGGTGAAATTTGAAGTAGGTAATTTTTGCTCTGGGGTCTGCCCATTTCTCCTTGTATGTCCCCCTCCCACCTCCTGGTGTGCTGTCCTCACCAATGTTCTGTCTGTTGCTGATTCCACCTTCAGAGGTGCTAGGGAACAGTGACCGAGGCCCCACAGCGAATCCTGGCAGAATTGCAGGCACACGGCAAGCACAGGTAGGAAGCCCTCACTTGAGGCCATACCGCATGGATGGCAGCCTTCTCTGCTTACACTCTCCTTAAACATTCCACATGCCAACTTGACCCAAGGGTCACTCTGCACCCAAGGGGAGTTCTGGTGCTTCTTCACATCTGAAGCCAGTTTTGCCCACTCCTTATACACGAGGGAGCCAGCCACACATGTCATAAAGTACTCTGAGGTTTTGGTTTTGTATTAAAAAAAAGGAAGATCACAATCTCAAGGTTTTTGTTTGTTGGTTTTCTTTCCCAGTAGCAAATGACAGGAAGGCTTCACATCCTAGCAGAACTGGCTTCTTTCCTCATCTCCCTCCAAGGACCTTTTCATTCCTCTTTCTGCCTCCCACAGAATCTGCCTTGCACTTGGTAGGCACATGATGTATGTCAAACAAAACTCATCCAACCTATGACCTCTTGGGTTGTCCATTTTTCTTCCCCCAGAGGCCCTCGCCTCCATGAGGGCAGTGACTATGTCTGCCTTGTTCATTGCCTTTCCTTAGTACCTGGTGCTTGGCATAGAGGAGGCATATAATTAACATTCATTGAATGAATGAATGAATGAATGAATGAATGAATGAATGAATGAATGAAAACACTACACCTTCCCCCAATATTCTTCATTTGGGGAATCTGGTTAACACATTTCCAGATGTCCAGAGTCTCCTGGGGGAGAATCTCTAGGAGCTAGAGTTCAACTACAACATGTACATGAGATGGTTGACCAGGCAGGAGCAAGACAGCACAGCCCACATTTGCAGGCTGCATGAAAGGCCGATGCTCAGTGCTTTGTCACAGCCTGCCAGGCCTGCCAGGGCATGGTTGAATTCCTGGGCCAGGACAAATCTGCCACCTTGTTCCCTTCCCTCTGTGGCAGCCTGGGGCTGGAGGCCTTACCTGAGTGGGAGCTCGCTGTCACCTTTTTGGCCTCCACAGTGCCTTTCTTAGGGATGGGGAGTGTGTTGGAGGAATTCCGCGTGGGGCTCACGCTTGCTGATCGGCTGCCCTTGAGCAAACGTTTAACATCATCCAACTCTGTCCCTGTGAAAGAATCCCCACACTTTCCATTAGGCCCAGCATTCTTTTCTGAGTCTAACTGCAGGGGGAATTACATTTATGGCATTCTGAATACTAGGGAGGATGGTGTCTTCTTCCCACACTGGTATAGTTTTAGTTAGACTTATAATTTTTACATTTTGCCAATTTATAGCACTTATCAACCTGGCACTTTGTAGAATTAATGTCCTCATAAATATAGTATCTCTATAAGGAGGTCAAAGTCATCAGTAGATATTTCCTAACTGTATCTCATCATACACCACAGAGATGAGTCTGTGGCTGGAAGACACCCTCATCCTAGATCAAGAGAAATCTACACCTGGAGCAATTAGAGAACCAGACCCCTTGAAACAAATGGATCAACAGAGATTTCAACCCCTGCACAGGACGCCTCAGGTGTCAGGTCTCTGACTTTGTAAGTTTTGGCATGTCACAAGGAATTTGTGGCCCATAACTCCTAACCATCATGCTGCTTTCATGTGAATTCATTTCAAATCCACCTGACTGATATTATTTGTAGTGAGGTGATCTAGTGGAGCAAGGGCAGTGCATAAGTGGAGACAAACAGATGTGTAGACAGTATGTGCTGGAAGACTGCCCAAACACCCCTCTCCTCAGATCTTCATCCTTTGGGCTCAGCGCCCCTTAGCCTGGAAGGGCTCAGGTGAGACAGTAGCAGGCCTGGAGTCAGACCCCGTAGCCCCAGGCGCTGAGCTCTTTGGACAAGTCCTGGTCTCTGATTCCTGAGCCGCCCACCCAGCTCTTTCTCCTCCTACTCTTTGCACTCGGATCCCACCCTAATAATTAGACTCATTTCAAAATGTCAAATAATCTCTAACAAGAACAACAGGAGTCTAACATAGTCAGTGGGCAGAGACCGGGGAATCCCCGACATTTGAGATCAAGTTCAAACTCTCACACTCTTCTTCTGACCTTCTCTAATCCTAAGTATCCCATGAAGTCCCCTCCTGCTCACACTGAACACTCCTCCAATGTCTCATCATGTGTTCTCAAATGTCTGTGCCAGCTCATCCCATGGATCCAAACTGATTCACTCCTTGTTCTCCCCTCAAGTGACACTAACCCAGAAGGCTTCTCAGCACCCCTGTTCCCTGAGCTGTCATGGTTGGTTGTTGACTGTGTCCCCATTAGTTTGTGAAGCATGAAGTGTCAGGGACTGTGTCTTACTCAGCTCCTTACTGCCAGCACCTAGCCCAGGGTCCCTCTCACAGAAGGCCCTTAGAGACGTTTAATGACCGACACACACACACACACACACACACACACACACACACACACAGAGTCCTGGGTTTCTGGATCCTTTTTTTCTTAGCAAGACGGTGATCACTTACATCGGGTAGACGGGGACGCGCTCTGCAGTCGAACTCGGATTTCGCTCTCTGTGCGGGGGACAGATGGAGAAGTCTGTGAATGAAGGAGCTTGGGTCACAGTGCCTGACCCTGAACTGTGAGCCGTGGTGTAATCCTTGGGCTGCTCTGAGATGTCCGTGTCCCGGAAATAGGAAACCTAGGCGTACTCAGGCCGAGTGCTGCTTAAAAAGAGATGTCCTCTCTCCATGCCCCACCCTGCCCAGTGCACACCTCTCAGCCAGAAACCCCAGGCTGAGCAGGGCGGCTCCATCACAATCATTAATGACCAGCCCCTTTCCAATCACTCATTTCCAGGAAGCAAGCTTCTCTCCAGCCTCCAGGGTCTCTCAGGCATTAGTGAGAGAATTCCAAAACCTGTAGTGTTTACTTAGCCATTTTGGCCTCTTCGGAATTGGAAAGGGCAGAAAGTGGGTAGTTTCACATTATTAGTTCGTTTCAGGTGGAGAACTGGTATCTTTCAACTATTAGCCTGATGTTGTGGGTGGTTGGTCTGTTCCTAACTTTCAAGTTACTGGCATAGTAAGGCCCCCGGGAAGTCTAGGCTGGTCATCGGGAGCTCCCGGAGCCTGGGAAGAGCCCTGCCTTCTGCACAGCCCTGCCCTGGCACGTGTGTGGCACAGACACCTGCCGCTTGCCACCCTCACCAGACTCATCAAGAGCAGCCCCCCCCAGGACCACGTTTCCTTCCTATAGCCTCATCTGTGGGCAGCTGTGAAGAGTATAAAACTGCCACAGAGTCTTTGTCCCCTGGAATGACTTGAAAAAGGGCTTTTGCTTGGTTTTTGATGCATAAAGGCAATTTCAGCACATCTTGTTCAAGGCAACCAGGAGACTAGATGTGAAACAAGGTGCAGCGCCAGCATCTTCAGGTAACCCACAGCAGGACCAATGACCTCCCAGGCCGTTACCGTGTGTTTTCATTCCTGCCTCCGTGTGCTCGTTGGACCACGGTCAAAATCTACCCTTCCCATCCTGGTAGAGCCAGCAAAAGATTCCCAGGATGCTGAACGCTCCACGAAGGCAGAACCATGCCTTATTCGTTCTCCTGAACTCCTCCCATCTCCTGCTTCAACGCTGCACACATGTTAGATGCTCAGAAATATCCCAGCGGTAAAGCTCACCTCGTGTTTGGCTTCGTCCTCTGGTTGAAGAAGACGCTGAGAAAGAAAGAAACGTCATTTAGGCATATATATGAGAGGTGGCATGCTAAATATTTTTGACATGGAGGTAGACATATTTGCAGGGAGGGGAGTGGGAGGGGGAAAGAGGTTATTTTCACAGTGTGTTTTTTTCCCAGACAGGAGCCCTTATGGATGGTGGATGCTTTAATAAATGATGACCATATAGCCAAAAGGCAGAGAAAGTTTTGCAAGGCCCAGTGCAGTTAGGGTGTTAAGTAAGTTAGCTAAATGCATGTTCTTAGCTCACACTTAGTGTTAAGTCAGCGAAGGTAATCCATTTGGGAGCATGGTCCATTTGGACTGGCTGACTACACACTGATCAAATGTATCAGAAGACTGCCAGATCTTCCCTTTAGTTTTTTTTGTTCAAGACTGCCTTGGTTTTTCCACTATAAGCAAATAAATTATAAGCACTATACAGTCAATAATCATATCATCAATTCATATGCACAGTGAGAACCCAAGAACATGGACCAAAGACTTGAGCCAAGTGAAGATATAGCCTAGGGTTTCCGTTGGCATAAAATGTGCCCCTCTGAAGGCTGCTGTGGTAGGGGTGCTGGGATGCTTGGCATTTATACATTCTAACCCTGGTTTCTCTTTGCTGGGAGGTCTCTGTGTGTCCTGTGGAAGGAAAAAAATCCTACAATTGTTGCTTGGTCTTAGGGCTTGTCTGTCCAAGCCTGAGCCTTGTCTGAATTGCTTGCCATTTCACTAGCATCATGAGCTAGGGCTTATGACAGCATGTTAATGTGGTTGACAGTTTCCTTAAGTTGTTTAAGGATAAAAAGCAAGAGAAAAACAGTCAGCAGAGGTTAAACTCCTTTAGAAGAATCCATTTAACGCATGATGTTCCCTCCCCGCAACCCCAGGCATTTCCCCAGTGCCTTATTTGACCTTTTTTTTTTCTTTCTTTTTTTTTTTTTTTTTCAGAAAACGAGGAAAGGACATACCAAATTCCTTCCGAGGGTACTCTGGAGAAGAGTTGCCACTGGAGCTCCCTGGGGAGAGAATAAAACACTTAGGACAGGCATACCACATGCCTCTCAGGTGTTGTGATTTTTTACAAATGGAAGGCAAGACTCTCCACCAGCAAAAAGATTACAACTCGCTTTATTGCTGTAGTCTGGAACTAAACCCACAATATCTCCCAGGTCTGCCTGTACCAATGGTCACTTAAGCCCAGATGGCTTCCAAGAGGGGTGGGTGGTGCTGGTCCCTCCTTTCTGAGCCTCACAGCCAGCGTGTTCAGGAGGTTGACAGGTGCTCTTCAGCAGGCTCCTGATTTAACCCCTGATTTAGGTGCCTGGTAGACGAGGTTGTTGGCACCTTGTTCTGACCCCTGATCTACTCCAGTGGGGGCAGGGTTTGAACAAAGAAAGGCAGGAGGTTTCCATTTCCTTTTTTGTTTTCCCTTCCTCTACTGCACGACTGCATTTGCCCTATACCAGTTCTGGTGCAGGTGACCTGTGCCTGGCCAGGTAAATGTGCTGTCAGCACCAGGGTGTCTCTGGCCTTGTGAAGGTCATCCCCAGTGTGCACCCTGTTAAAATGAAGGAACCAGCCCCATGCTGACGCAGGCCTAACATCAGAAAGCACTCTAGGGACACCATCCTCTTTGCCTGAATTTGGGGCTCCCCAGGGTCCCCTGACAACTCTGGGTCTTAAGTTATTTACTGGTGTACCCATTCCTTAATGCTGCTTCTCCATCACCAGTACCCTTCTCCGTTCACTATTAGAACCATTTGCTGCCTGGCTTGTCGGTTTCCCACTAAAGCTGCTTCTGTAGATCACCAGGAACCCGAGGAACCTTTGAAGAAGAACCCAAACTTCTCCCTCCTCTCTCCTCCTTCTTGACCCTGAGCACTTTCTCCGGCTGACTCCAATGATGCCGCCTGTTCCTGGTCTCCCCGCACCCCTCAAAGGCTCTCCTTCCTCTCCATGCCCTTTAGCTCTTTTTCTCCTTCTTCCCCCAACTTTATCTTTCTTTGCTCTCTTTGGATTTTTATACCCTCTTCCTCATCTAACTCCTTCAGTTTTTCTCCTTCTACTAACATCTCTTGGTGAACAATTCCAAAAGGGGTGTCTTGCCCTGACTTCTTATCTGGGCTCAAGTCCTGGGAGCCCCACTGCCTGCTTGCTACCCCATCTGCAAGCTGTGCCAGCAGCTCTATTTCAGGACCAAATAACTGAAGTCATTCACGTGGAGGCCCCCACCTGGGCTCCCTGCTGCAATTGTTGGCACAACCACAAACCCAACCACCTGTGTTTGACATCTCAGCAGAATCGCTGACTCTTTTTTCCCCTGTTAAAATCAAAACTAAATGAAGACCAGCCTTGAAAAGTCCCTGAGCGGACAAAACCAGTTTAACCATTCAAGCAAAGTTTAATTTAGCATATTTTGCAAGACTAATTTAACCTGGGTCACTTCTTGCTTATGCCTCTGAAAATCATAAGCAAAAATTAAACTGTTTCTCAAGGTAAGATGAGGTACTTGACGGCCCTATCACTGAAGAGAATTCCAATAGTGTAACCAATCACTGTGAAGAATAAACAGTCACTGCCTCCTCACTACACAAGCTGCTTTGAAACAATATGGCCTGAGGCCCATTCGTGTTTGGTTTGAGTGCTCTGAGTCTGCAAACTGCCTTTTTAGTGTGTGCACAGTAAACTTCTACTAATTACTACTTCAGTGATTCCTTAGTTTTATACTTCTATTATTTCTGAACTTTTGACATTGCCTTTCTCCCAACATTTAATCAATTGCCAAACCTGTCAATTCTACGTCTGCAATCCCTCTCACCTGCAGCCCCTCCTCTTCTCTCGCACTGCAACCCCCCTGGTCCCAGCCAACTTTTCCCTTTCCTGGACTGTTGAGCATGGCCTCACTTGTCACCATGTTCAGTCACTTCTCTCCCTGTTCTCCCTACATGTAGTTTCCAGAGTGCTAGTCCTGGGTCCCAAATATGATCTACTCTTTTGCTCAAAAATCTCTGTGGCTTCTCACTGGATGCAGAATAAAGTCCAAACATCTCAGCCTGTACTGCATCTAAGTCCCTCAGGCCCTCTTCACGGAAGCACCTCTGTTGCTTGCTACTTAAGCCCCGACACTCCTGCCCATCATTCTGTACTGCTGCCCCTGCTGCCCGAAGCGCCCCATCTCTCCACCTCCACATATCAAAATCTTACATCTCACGAAGGCCCAGCTCAGATGCTACCACCACCTTGAGTCTTCCCTGGAGACTCAGCTGGAAATGATGATCCCCTTTTACTTTTCATTATTGTTTTCATCTGTTATCTTGTCTATTAGACAAGATCCATGCCTGATTCATTTAAGCATCCATCAGGGCATTCTGTATGGTGCTAAACACATGGCAGATATTTGAAAAAAAAATGCTAGCTGCAAAAGTGACTAAGGATGAATGAAAGAATGAATGAAGGGGTGGGTAGATCAACAAAATCACCAGGTAACATGAGTCCATAAAAGAAATGAAGAAAGAGTGGAGAGAAAGGTGAGGGAGCAGACACAGGTAAATACAGGTGCCAATATGTCAATCTTCAAAGGACGAGTGAAGTTACTTGGGGAAGAGAACGGTTCTCTTTCAAAGTCTGTGGGACTGATACCTTCGTATGTTCCATGGCGGGTGATGTGAACTTTCCTTTCAAAGGTTGAGCCTGGTGAGTTGGGCAGAGTGGAGGCAGGTGAAGGAGCCCTCCGATAACTGGAGGTGGAGGCATTGCCTCGTGTGCTTCCACCTGCAAGTGAAGAAAGCATCAGCTCATAGCACTTCAGCAGACTCACGTCCAGTTATAGTAACTACGTCCACTCAGGCTGCTCATAATAAAAGAGCGCATATGGAGGGGCCAGAGGACGTCAGCACTGAAAGGGTCCACCGCAGCATTCCCACAGCTGCTCAGAAAAGGGAGTGGAATGACTGCTCCTGCCCGTCCTTCTCAAGCTGACTACTGGAAAACAGGGAGGTCCTTTTTTTGTTTGTTTTTTTGTTTTTTTCTTTAGCTGAGCCATCCTGCCACCTGTTGGCAGCTCATCGGCAGCTCAGCTCGGGCCAGGACTCAAACTGCTATTGCTCAGAGCTTGCACTGTTGAGCGAGCTCTTAACCAACTGAGCCACTCGGCCAGCCCGCAGGGAGGCCCTTGACACACGTGGCTACAGTGCATGGAAATGGAGGGGCTTCAGCAGGACTTTTCTCAGGGACCTGGCACCTATTTAAATCAGAGATTGTTGCTGGATAGACTAGAACAAAATCCAATGTGGAAGGTTTCTCAACAGATAAGGGCAGGCACTTCCCAAGGTCAACCTGGCTGTTGCCTGTCTTAGGTCTTCTTTTTAGTCACGCCAAGATCTTTATTTTTTTTTTATTTTTATTTTTTTTAATTTATTTATTTATTGTTAGTTTCAGGTGTACAGAACAATGCAATAGTTACCCTTTTCACCCTCACAAAGTAACAACCCCCCACCCCCCATCCACTGCCCTCCCAC